AAGCTTCGCTAACTTGACTTAAATTCCCATTAAATATTAATATAAATTATGAAAATAGTGAGGGTCGTCACAATGTAGGTCCTGTCCTCACAAGTCGGTGTAAAGTTAAATTGAAGTCATCACAACGTTGTTACCACACACGCACACATACACCAACACTGACTACAAAGACTCTCATTGTGGGATTTGCACACAGGATTAACAAATGTGAGGTAATTTGCATTTTCAGATCAAAGAATACTGTCATCATGGGAGAACGGCCCCAGTCTAAATTTCGGGTCCTTTAGGGTGTTCTAAGTTTAGTTGGTTATTTTCCCTGCAATGCTGATTTTAGCAGCTAAATTTAGAAGACCCTGTCAGTAGACTGAGCTTCAGGTACTACGATACTGTGAAAATTTTTACTAAACAGGTTTCAATTGTAGGATAAATCCTTTATCCAAATTAGTGGTATTTGATGAAATGCAAAAAGAAACTGACCCTGATTACCTTATTGGATGATTTGGACAAGAGAACGCAGTAATCAGTCAGCAAATGAAAAAGAGCTTAAAAACAATGTAATGAAACAGTAGCATGTACACTAGTCAAAACATTGTCAATACATCACAGGTTGTACATATAGCATATATGTTAAAAAAATCCACATCACAACTTGGTAAACTTACATGGATATTTATTATTGTAGTTACTTCATAGAGAAAAATAAACACAAAGATAACTTTAATTTAATTTTTTGTTCTCAAAAGATAATATTAAGTGGGATAGCTCCAACGATAAAACAAAGAGTAATACAATATGCTAAACTAGTACCCCACTTGATACCCGACATTAAAGTATTCTAGATATACCCAAAGCAGACTCGACAGAATACTACACTACTTCAGATGATGCATGTTGTCATGCAATTTATTTTACAATTGTTTTTCATATAGATATAGAAAAGATGTAGTTTTACACGTCCTAAAATGGCAGATACAAAGATAAAGCTACATTTCATGCCATAATAAAAATTGACATTTATGTAGTTGAATGTTAAAACAAAATAATTAAATAAGAAAAGTGTGTATACAAGGTATGGTATTCGGGTTATTTTCGAGATATTTGACAGGATATTAAATATTATTTTTATGCAAGATATTTCTCTGAACTGCATACTACCCACCCATTAAATAAACATGATAATCTGTTCAACTTCTGTTTATGAAGACTTCTTTAACAGCACACACATTTGATACCCTTCAAAAGCATATACAGGTGTATATAACTATCCCAATTAATTTACATGTAGCAATGAGCTGCATAGAGTTCTAAAACACTGTCCAAATGCGCATGTAGCTAAACATGACACCAGCCCATGCAAGTCTGAACTGTTCAGATTTTAAACAATGTAACAAACTACCATGACCACCACTTCCAAGAAAAACCTGCATGAACACAATGGAAGACAGTTAAAAGTTCATATGAAATTGGCCTATTCACTTCCTATAAAAGCCGGAAATGGTCATCAGTTTTTAAAAAACAAAATTGGTTATCGTAGGATTTCAGCAAAAGTTATCAAGGGACCCCCAATATTGGATGTGCAGATGTTCGCGACTGTATAATATCAACCAGTTGGCCATACTGGATCACAACAATTAAATGAAGATGTAAAACATTCAAAAGTTAGCAAGCTGTCAATAGTACATGCAGTTTACAAACCACTATTCAATTTTAAATTGAAATTCAGACCTGCATGCCTGTGCTGTGTTTAGCCATTCAGAAGTTTGATCAGATTTACCACTCGTATCAGTATGTGTCGTGTCACAGAAATTGACATTTTGTGCGATCCATTTGGTAGAATAAAAATAACTAGATCTCGTACAATGATTTTTGTAAATATGTACATTTAATTTGAACCGTTTGAACGAGTGAAATATATGATAAAATGATAATATGCAAATTAAACTAATTAATATGTACACAAAACTTAACAGATTTTGCACTAGTCTTGTATAATTTGTTTTGTACATTACATGAATGAGACAACTAGTTCTTGAGATATCAGTGGAACAATATTTGTGCAGACACTACAATATAGCAGTTTTGTGCTCCATGTGATGCGTACATGAACAAAGGCACACATCGTGCAACAATTCATAGTCCAAAAATATGCAACATTTTAAAGTTATTGAACATCACAACAAATTACATTGATCCAACTTGAATAGAATACTAACTTAGTTTCTGGTCCAAAAATAATATATTTTTTTGACAAATAAACAAGTGCACTAAAATATTGATATAATAAAAAGTGATCGAGACATTTTAAGTGGAGCTGAATTATTATTGTATGTGGCCCATATTGAAATCAATTATCAGTAAAGTAATACAAACATAAAATCACCACTTTATGTATTTCTAGCACTCTACTGCAAGGCATTTCTGTTTTAAAAATCAGAATTCTCAAACACCCTATGATTGCAAATGTGCAAGGTAAAATATGGAAGTAACTCCTGAATCGGTTCATGCCTCCAAAAAAGTAAATTGTTGTATTATATGATAATAGAAAACTGTAATTAAATAGGGACAATGACTGCTAACAGGTTCCAACAAGAATTGCCTGATTATAGTTATGGATTCAGTACTATGTTAACAGGCACAATGAAAGATATATATATGATCAAGTGTCAAACAATTCACTGTGACTTGTCAACAGACTGCGAAAAAAATCAAAGAATGGCAGTCTATTTAGCTTTCATCTTTATTTACAAGTTTGCAGATTACCTCATTTAATTATCATAAAAGGTGGGTGGTGGCTGAAACTAGTATAATTAGCAGATATGAATTAAGAAGATTTCAAATCTTACATGGAAGGGGGGAGATAATGACTATGAATACTAATTAATTAAAGTAAATGACATTGGCTGAGAATTCACAATATTGGGATTCATATCAATATATCAACACATGAAATTTATTGAAATGAAGTAATACTTTCAGCATGGAAACTAATGCAAAAATAAAAATAACATGAAAATGTTGCCCTTTCCAAGATTTTTTTTAAAAAAAAAAAGATTGTTTGGTGACCCCTTTCTGTATAATGCTAATGGGCATACCAGTAATCCCATTACCAAAAGTATGAAGTGTGTTTTCAATTCAGTCCAAACCTTCTAAATTGATTTAAACACTAAGTTGATGGAAGAAATGATTTGAAACTTTAAATATTGAATTAATCAACTTTTGAATACCACGGTGTAGTATGCGAGAGGTGTATGTGTGTGCACATTACATTGCCAGGCATCATATCCACTGTTGCAGGGTAAATCCAACGTAATTGCAGTTACTAAGAAAAAAACACAAATTTACTATTCCGATAAAGATCATAGGAACAGTTGTTGAATGACCAAAAATAATCCATAAAATATGAGTAGTGAACATGACATGAAACAGAGCCGATCATGTTCTCCAGTTCTAATATCCCCCATTATTTAAATATACAGGTCTTAGTGACATTCCAACAGCATTAAAAACATTCAGCTGTAAAGCATCGCCTCCACAATTATGGGAGCTAGAATGTGTGTAACAACAAACAGTAACATTACACATTACTGTGGGCTTCAAAAAAGAAGCAATGTAACTTTTTGACAACTGTGGAAAAAGTAAACTATTTGGCTTTGGCGTGAGTGAGTATGTGTGACTTTAGATTAGTAGACTGAGCAAACTTCTTGTTGCAGCCATCAAATGGACACACATAAGGCCTGTCACCAGTGTGGATTCTTACATGAGTACGCAGATTGAAATCCAGTGAGAAACGCTTACCACATCCTTCAAAGGTACACTGTAAATAGAAGATATAATTTGCTTGAGTTATATTGATGAGGCAAGAGTGGCATGTACATTTACTGTTTCAAATAATTCTTACTACCTGGAATACATAGTATCTATTAGAGTCAGCAGTAACGTTTCTTTCAAACTTAAGGGGGGGTCAACATGTTGTCATATACAGTACAAACCACACACGTTTTTCACAGAGTAGCAAAAGAAAATGCAATCATGTCTGCCATTCTGTGTATTGTGTAGTTTCACAGAATAAAGTTATACAAATGCAATTTTTAACATCTTTTGGATGATAAATTTGTCATCTCTTTTCAGACTTGCGTTATCTAATTTTACACGTCACTTGAACATATCAACTATCAAAATGTATGGAATATTATTTGCCTAATATTAATATATTAAACTGCTGATATTAACTTATTTTTTATTCAGCATCCAGTTTTACAACATGTCAGTTAAGATATGGGATCAAGTTTAAACCATGCCACAGTGAAAACCTTTCAAAGACGTGCAAGTTTGTATTCAAGATATTGAAAATTGATTTTCAAAAATGGTAAGGTTATTACGATAGTAGAACACAAAAAACTTTGAGTGGTTGAATTTTGTGGAAATTAGCATTTAAAAAAGTGGCTGTTTATAACAATCTTTCAAGTAACAAAACACAAGACATTAAGAAATTTTCAAGAAAGTTCCAAAAAGTGTAAACACTGTCAGAATTTTGGAGGCCAAATTACAAAAATCCACCAAATAATTACATGCTTGAATTTTTAGAGGAAGTCAACATTTTTTCTAATATCATTTTAATAATAGTAATTGTTGCTGTCTTACCTGGAATGGTTTTTCACCTGTATGAACCAGCTGATGTCTCTTAAGTTTTGAACTCTCTACAAAAGCTTTTCCACATTCTGCACAGACATGTACTCTGGGGCCATGAGTGTGTAAGTGCTTCCTCATTGCTGAATTATCTCGAAACATCTTCGTACAACCCTGATAGAATGAGACAAACAAATTAGGAAGTACTCTTCTTCTTTTTTCTACATCATAGTGACTGATTAATTCAATGCTTAATAACTTAACATATATTTACAGGAATCAGGTTTAGCTGAAAAGTACAATCATATAATACAAACTTTCTGATTTAAATAACATAAGTGGGCTTTTGTGGACAAGACATACTCAAATTTACAATTTTTTTTATACATGTACCATACTATCCCAGACATGAACCCTTTCCTGGGTATAAGCCCATCCCTGATTTGTTGACATTCAACAACTTGAGGGCATCCCAGGATGTTTTTTACAAAATAAAGAAGTTGGTTATTAACTACCGGGTAATGCATGCAAAAAGTGTGTTTCATAAAAAATCATTATTGATACCAAAATGTATTGTGTTTTGTAGTCATATAGCACTTTAACATGACCTGTTGACAACCGTGAACAGTGTTCTCCCCACATAAAACAAAGCATGGCGGTACCGCCATGCTTGGCGACCCGGCCGCCACGCTTGGGCTCGGACCGCCATGCTTACAACTTTACCGCCATGTTAATGGGATGCATTGTTTACATCCTTTTGACCCGCTCACACGTAGCACTGCATAAATTATCACCGTCTACGCCACGGCGGTTTGAACTTGCCGGGACAAATTAAACAGTCCCATTGTTAACACGTGTGAAGTACAGACGCTGTCAATGGGGAACAAATTGTCACTCAAGTTGCAAACACCGAGATCTATACGACTAAACATGTAAAGGAAAAATAGGTGATGCCGCCCGGCTAAAACGTACAATCACCGCTAGCAAAGCACAGAAACGGAAGCGTGTAGAAACACGGAAACGGCGTGAGGCTGGTTTTGATGAATCGTGGAAAAAGACATTTCCCTGGTTAAGGTCAATTGTTCAGGTAAGATTTCGTAATTTTAGAAATAAAATGCCAGTGTGTATGTTTTGCCGATCGTAAGAACACCAAACATGGTAGGCCTACACCGATTTCAATCAACATCTTAGACACGAGGCTGGTATAGACACGACATGAAAAAAAAAACATCACTAGTTACTGTCAACTTTTTTTAGATTATTTATGGATATAATTCATAGATTAATGGGTACGCGCATGTTATAATTTGTCCAAGC